CTGGTACTATCATTTGACTAATCATTATAGACATTCACGCACGTGATTGGGGTAGCCAAAAATTAAAGTAAGCGTACAACGAATTGCGACGGAATTCTATCATCATACTCATGATCTAAGTTGTGATTTTCCTCAGTATGTTGGTCTAACCCATCTAGGGAACAAAATTGTAGAGAAAATAGGCAATGCTTCTTTTGGTGTTTCAGACCCTAATGGTTAGATAACTCTCTCAGTTCACTCTATTGAAATGGATCGAGACCGGATTTATTCGAAGTTCTGACAAAATCTAGGCGAAATTAAGACTAAGACACACCTCGGATGTTAAAGCCCATTAGAGGAGCAGAATACTTTATTAGTTCTTCATCTTATCGTTATTATATCTAGCATGAGGATCTGAAATAACAAGCTAATCTATGCATATCATCTATGTAGGTTAACGTGTTTACTAAAGCCACATTCGCGAATACTTTTGAAAATGCTTAGTTCAAAAAAAAATTATATTCCTTACTCACTATATCTCTAAAATGACCAAGGTTTTATATTCCATTCCTGTTGCCCTGTTTCTTTTTTAGGACATCATTAACTTGGTGCTGGAATATTCGAAGCAGACATCGATAAGCAATGATCGATGTCGTCGTGGTACTCCCGAGGCGGGTCCTTTGGAGGCTCGTTTGGGTCCATTCCTCGAACATCTGATCGACTTGGCTATCGATCCTCGATCTGCATTGCACATACGTTTGAAGCGCTTTTCCAGTTGGAAGCCGGGTGGTGGAGGTGGAAACACAGGATTCTCTGCTATATCTCAACCGATTTCTACCATCTCTCTCCCTTCCCGCTGCGTAACTTCGCTCCGCTCCACCTCTGGCCTCCCACTTACGGGGCAGCCATCGATCTCGCGCTCTGGCAGATCTCTTTTACCCCGAGGCTCTTGCTCCGGTTCTGCGTCCTGTTCCGCTTCTTCCTCTATACCAACTTCCACCTCATCATCGCCAGTCTTAACGCGGCCATATTATCTTGCAGCGTCTGGAAACCAGCTGCCCCGCGTTCGACAACTGGCTGTTGCTCGTCGAGCTCGACCGGGTACCGGCCAGTCGAGGCGAACTGGATTTAGTACCGCCAAATCAAGACAGCGTCTCAATCAAACGCTTCAGAATGCCGCGACGCCACCACAACTGCAATCAATAATGCAGATACAGCAGCAACAGCAACACATGCAATCACAACATTTGCTGCCACCCCAACTCCAGCTTCATCAGCAGCAGCAGCCACCGCAACACTTGACGCAGCAACCGGTTTATTCTTCTCATTATCAGCCCGCTGCCGCAGAGCAACAGCTGACTTCTCTTGTCCAAACACAAACATCTGAGTCCCATCTCTTATCAGGTCATGCGCCCTCTATGCACCTCCAGTCAACCGTACTAACGATGCCTTATCAGCCGACTGGATCTCTATCTCAATCACAACAACAACAACAGCAACATTCACAACAGTTTTTATTATCAACTCTTGCCTCGGACACCCAGGCTCATCAGCCAATGGATACAATTGTAGGCGACTCAAGCACTGAGTAGGTTGGACAATTTTTGACAAATCTTGATGTTCCTGCGGGGACCTCACTGAATTTTTTTATGATACTCCAGACCATGTAAGACCATATTTGAACTTTGCCCCTAGAGCGTTTCTCTGCCAAACTTGATCTATGGAAAATGAATTTACCGGAAGCTTTAGCTTAATACTCTTCAGTCTGAATGACTGTTGAAGATTTATACATAAAGTGTATTAAC